AAGGTGCGGCAATAGAGCTTGCCCACCTTGCTGTAGAAGTGCTGGGAAGATGCCGTCAGCCCCTGGTGACTTATATTTCGAGAAGGAAGCCAGTGCCCACTTGATTGAGTCTGCATTGAATAACTTCTTTGCAGCTGTCCAATTTGAGCGATCTGGCTTATATGCGACCTCTGGTGGAATTTGGTCGTCCCGAAAAGTCTCCGGGAAGTGCTCAAGCAAGAGTGCCATTGCCCTTTCATTTGCGTTGGTCGTATAGGTCCCATCAGATCTTTTTATGGCTAATGCTGTGTCAGTCTTACCTCTGACCAGAGCCTTGTGCAGTCTGGCTGCCTCTGGGGTTGAGGAGACATTTTCGCAGAATTTCCAGAAACTACTGGTTTTTGCAGACCTAATTTCCTTATTATAGGTTGTTAGGTGCTGCCTGTAATCCTCCCAGTTGCCGGTTCTTTTGGCTTTGTTAAAAAGCCTGCGAACCGATTTTCTGAGCACCGAGAGTTTACTGGTCTACCAAGGACAGCCCTGCCTTTTAGTGGTTTTCTTTAGTGCGGCGCGTATCGCTTCCTACCTGCCTCACTCTACTGATATTTAACTTTAATACTTTAATACTAACGTATAAGTATATCTTTCACCAAGCCAATGGATCAATTAAAAAAGAAACAACATTATAAAAACATGATATAAATACATAACATCTGATCAAATTTGACACGGACTGACAAAAAAGTTCAGTTTCACAAAAACTTCCAGCTGGTAGATTTTCGCACTATGGGAAATATATCCGGAAACTACATATCTATTAACTCACATTATTACCCTATCTATTTAACTTATATGAAGTGAAACCGTCACCTAAAAGACAAAGCAGCGACTTTGTTCAATATATTGTAACGGATTTCTCGATAAATCGTCTGCCGTGTAACTCACTACTGAGTTCTATCACTGGATTGTTAAATGAAAGTCCCAATTAAATGTCTATACACTTATCTTTATTTCTAATTTCAACAACTTTACACTATTACTCGTTATGTTATTCGAGTTTTCAACTTATTGCTTATAAATGTATACTTTGAATCAGCAAACATATAACTCACTTGCTCTTTACACGGCAACATTCTTATTAGAACTGTCTATGCGGCACATTCCGGTAGCCCCTATATAGGAGATTTTTAACAAAACATCGCTTCTAGAGCATTCTGGCAGCTATGAACCCACTAACTTGTTGATTCTGGCAATTTTCCGTCGATTCGATTTTGTTCTATCGTTCGTGTTCGCCACACTGCCCTCCACTTAAGTCTCGTCGTCCCGATTAGACATATTTGCGTTACCAAACGCTGCAAGCCGTTCCAGATGAACTACCTTCATTTTATTCCATGGACTAATAATGGTCTATATGCGATACACTACATCGTTGAGTCGTTTATTAACCTGGTATGGTCCTTCCCAATTACACTATAATTTGGGATATAACCCTTTCTTTCGTTGTGGGTTATATAACAATACCCAATCGCCTTCAATAAAACCCTCAGAGTTTATTGCCTTGTCGTATTTTGCTTTCATTTTATCACTCATAATTTTGGTGCGCTGTCTCACCATAACATGTTTATTTCTTACCTCGTCTTCTAGGACGCCGTTGCCTTTCATAGCATTCCTTCCTTCGTTGGCGTTAATTCCAAATTTCAAGTCAATCCACAACTTTCCTCGTATGTTCTTCTAAAGTTCGATTGAATCGTTCTACCATGCCTTCGGACTGCGGCTGTGGTGGAGTTGTACGGATTTTTCGGAAACCCAGTTTCTCTCACATTTACCATTACAGCTGAATCAAAATTTCTCTCTTGGTCAGAATGTAATTGTATTGAAATTCGGCATATCTCGATACTCAATTATTAATGAATACTGTTCCAAATGGATTAAAAACTGAATAACAGTCACGGTTGCGAGAGGCCATGGAGGCGGAAAATATTAATGTTGAGGAATATGTCTTTCAAAAGAAAAAGGAAGAGACTCGCTCATCAAACTATCCCTAATGCTAAAGCAAATAGCAGCGCAAATGGCGCAGATGTCAACGCGAATATCGACGCGAGACCTCACTAATTACAGGAATGTTATCACAAATGTTGGCGCAGTTGGAAGTGCAGTTCGCAGCGCAAGGTACCCGTATATCAGTACCGCTCTCTTTACAGTTGAAAGACGAGGATGTACGGATATCGCAAGTGATGTCACAAATTGCAGAGCTGTCTCCACAGTTTTCGGAAGAGCGGGAAAAATAAACCTGAAGTGGATGAATTGAAGGATCGTCTCCGCGAGCTACAATTAAATCGGCCAATTATGTCAACAGCTTCTGCCAAGGTAGAGCCTCCATCTTTTGATGGCACAGTTCCGTTCCATGTTTTTTAAGCTACAATAAGAAAAGGCGGCGTCTGCAAATAATTAGAACGTTGAAGGTAAAGTAGCTTTATTGATATTTGAACTAAAAGGATCTGCAGCAAAAATATTACAAACTGCGAATCGAGTAATTATGAAACGTTGATGGGTGCATTAGAAATGGTAGTGAGCGCAGGAAGCAGATTTTCCAAATCGAATTGGAAAATCGTCGCCAGAAAGACAATGAGTATCTGCAAGAGTTTTCTACAGTGATTGAGAGGTTAGCTTACTTCGCTTTTGCACATAAATTGGTGGAGTTTACCGAGGATACGAAAATTCGAATCTTCGTTAATTATGCTGTGTTAGCATGTCCAATATTGACGTTTGCGGAAACCATTTCGTATGCTCTGACACAAGAAACTGCATCTTTGCTTAGCAATCAAGCATTTAAAGCTCATAAAGTAGAAATATTAGAACACACTTGGATGAACCAATTACTTGAAAAAATTTACCACATGCAAAAAGCACTGGAAATTGCGCGCGTAAGAAAAATGATGGTGTCGTTAAATGCTTCAACTGCGGAAAAAGTGGCCATATTGCACGCAATTGTAACCAATCCAATAGTGCGAATGCCATGTATTCTCCATTTCACAAATAAGCAGGAATACAAGCAACGTTACCGTTATTGGTTATGTAGACGATAAAAAGCGCATACTGACTGTGAATACGGGCGCATCACAATTTTATTATTCGATCTGACCTAGCTAATAAAGTAAGACAAATATGGAAGTGCCACTTATTTTCGGTTATGATAACGACGTTAGACGAGTGATAATAACAGGGATCCAATAGATTCCACCAAAGTCAGAAGCAGTTATTTGGGCAAAAATAGATGGAGACTATTGGTTAAACAAGTTGTGGGTAGTTGAAGCCATGGAAGAATTTACATAAAACGTACTTATAGGCAAAACCCTGGCAATGACAGGACAAGATAAAATACTTCCAATAAGAGTACTTAGTGAATTCAAGTCACCAATCAAACTTTTCAGAGGAGCTATATTATACTTATAATAAAGACGATTCCAAACCAGGAACAACCAAAGTTATGAAAAATTTTATAAATACAGGTGATACAGGATTAATCTGCCGGGCGTTTCGAAGCGTTCGTTTAGCAAAACGTGAAGTTGTAAGACAGACCAAACGTGAAATGAGCGAAGCGCCGAAATCGAACCATCAGCGAGTCCATGGAGTTCACCTGTAGTACTTGTGAAAAAGAATCATGAAGTTTTGCGTGAACTATAGAAGGTTGAATGTTGTAACGAAGAAAGACAGTTATCCACTACCTATAATCGATGACACTCTGGACTCGTTATCAGGCACTAAATGGTTCTCAACACTTGCTCTCAATTGCTCTTAACACGAACACACTCTAACTAGAACTGTCCGTGCTGCACAGTCTGACAGCCCTAATATAGTAGATTTTTAACAAAACATAACTTCTAGAACATTTTGGCAATTACGAATTCGCTAACTAGTTGCTTCTGGCAATTTATCGTCGATTCGATTTTGTTCTACAATCCCTGTTCGTTACAACATCGTGATTTGAATGCATGAAGGTGTATATACATACATACATAAATATGTGCATTAACATGCGTATATCCGTATGCATTGTATAAGCCTACAAGTAGCCAAAGAATCAGCTGTTTTCCTATGTGTGTGAAACAGCCGTGATCATCTGATCGAATATGACACAGAGTTTTAAATAAAAGGTTGCAGTTTAACAAATACACTGCACTTAAAATGGAAATATATCGAAAACTATAAGTTTCCGGCGGCAATAATTGGTAAATCGGTAAACTAAGAATTTAAATATTCAACAGACAAAGAATTTTCACTCACAAAAACATAAACATGTAAGTTAAAAAAGATAAAATCGGAAACATTTAATAATATTTCAATACAATAAATAATAGTTTAAATAATACTATGTAAATTTAATCTTTAGGAATTAAAACAACCGAAAAATATTTGAATATGGAATAAAAACATTCTTAGAGTTATTAATTTTAAAACATAACACGGCAACACACTATAGCAGATTTCTGTCATTTGAACGTTTTAGTAGTGGAATATTGGTTGGCAATCCGTACCAAGTGTGATTTTAGTAGTAGAACTTTCGACGCAACCCGTACCAAGTTGGATATTTTTGCGTGTGTATTAGTGAAAATCTTAGGAATGGCTACTTGTAGATTTAAACAATGTACGTATGTAAGCTTCGAATGATGAAAGGTAGGATTTATATTAATTACTATTCTCATATATTAAGTTTTTAGTATATTATGTTAGTATAAATATAGTACACACATAGTATATTCGTATATAAGTATGTTCATATGTATGATAATACAATATATAAGATTATCAAACAGAAAAAGGTCTTATTTTCGCATTGACTACAAACATTGCTTTAAAATTGTTTATAAATTAATTTAAATGTAATCAATTGTACATGTATTCATATCAATAAATATGATTGCATATAAAGGTATAAAAATGTAAGCCACAAAACTAACATGCGGCTGTATAATCAAAGTCTCTGAGCAAAATTTCTCCTTCCGAGCTAGTGATGAATTCCAATCATTGTGATTTGTTAGATTTGGACAACTAACACGCTAGTCCGCAATTGAACCTTCTCTAGTAGCTTAAGTTCAGATTGAAATGAATTAGTCCATTTGCACGTAAACGTTTTTTAAAATTTCACTAAAAAATATGATGAATCTGAAGATAAATAAAGTTTTAAATAGTAAAGTAATTTAATTTTATGTTATTAAAAAAAAACTGAACTGAAAATACGATAGAAAATAGATTTTACTAAAAAAATTTTGTAAGCAATGTACTAAAAGTGGCCACACACGACATATATACATGTGCATTCGATAAGTATGTGCGCAAGTGAGATTAACTCGTGTGTGGGCTTGTGTGCATACGAATCCAAGTTGACGAAAATTTTCGATATTTTTCAATTAAGGTGCACACAAGTATGTCGTATATGGGCTTGTGTGCACACAATTGCTCATTTGGAAAACCAAAAGTTACAAAATTATAGTAAAATTTAATGGAAAAATATATATATTGGAATAATTTATTGTCTAAATAGAATCAAATACATAAAGATGCTATTATAATACATCTATTCGAGAATTAAAATATAAAAAGTATCATTCAATTATCCGCTTGATTCTGGTACATGTTTACTCATTGAAGGACGAATGTAAAACGGATCCGTATGTCGTGTATGGCGAAAAGATTTCATACCGATCGAAAACATAAGTGTGTCGTGTATGGCTACTTTTACATTGCTAACAAACCAAATCAAGAACCCGACAAGACGGAGGTAACCAATTCACTACTACATTAGTAAAGTTTATCCTTTACACCACTACATATTCAAAGCTAACTTTTTGTTTTTAAATTTAAAATTTTGTTGTAAGAGTAGCGATATTCATCATACATATTTTTTGAATGCGTAAGGAGATGCACGTAAAGCTGTTCCATTTTTCTTCAACAATGGCCGGCATTATTTGGAAACAATTTTTGAAGTAAGCGTTTTGTCTGAACTGTTTTTTAATTATAATGTTATATTGGAAATCTAGTAGGATCAATTGTGTCGCTATCGAGAAGTATTGCGCAATGGTGATTCCAAGGAATTTGTGTTTTTTTTTTTTAATGATTTTCGCCATGGTTACTGTGTATCGAATTGAAATATTTATGTGTTGGGCATAGAGGTTGTACGTAAATTGATTGAAGAGGAAATTAATGCTGTGAAGCAATTCTACGGCTTGTACGAAATTTTGCCTCATTCCGATACCACCGTTGCCAAAATAAACAAATTTCTGGACGTTTCGAAGAACAATTTGTAGAGCATCGACCGTCAAAAACCGCTATCGGAAAGTATTGAGTGGTATTTTTTATTGGTATTAGGCAACTATTTGGTGACCATCCTAAATTGGACTGGATACCATTCTCGGACCGTTTGTATATCTACAGGCAATACGACACAAAGTTAGTCTCTGTTTAGTTACATATGCATATGTATTTTTTATTTCAGAGACGTCCTCAACAGTTTTGCCGACATTTTCGCAACACACAAGGGTGCAATGCAAAAAATGCGTTAAGTATTAATATTGTGGCGAACAAATCAGAATCGACGATAAACTGCCAAAAGCAACTAGACAGCGAATTCGTAGCATGGTATAAGGGAGTAGCGAAAGTCCCATTCACAATAGCTTCGCCACCTCTGAGGTGTACGTTCACAATAAAACCAACCTGGTGGCCATGGTGAGTTAGGGTGGCGAGGGATTAAAACGGGTTGCGCATAGCAGAAAACGCCTAAATAATTATTTATAAATATTTCAAATTTTGGTTATTATTTGTTGTTTAATGCTAACAATATATAATATTATACCAAGTTGATATAGGTAAATATGCGGCATATTTTTAAGCATTTTAAATAACTTATTAATGGGCAAACTGAAAATTCAATTTAACTATGAGTGGACGGGAAGAAATAACTATTGGAACAGAATTTGATACTATAAGTAATAATAATTTATACAATCAAAAAAGCAAAACTTATTGCCATGCAAGTGATAATAATTCATTTAAACAATAAAGCAAAATTTATCATTGTACTTTTATCAAGAAATGTTACTAGTGTTGTAATTTCAGTATAGATTTATTTAATCACAAATTTTATTTACGTTTTATATATCAGCAATTAATGGTGGATATATGTACAATAGTTTATTACAACTTTTAACATACAAAATTACCATATTATTATATAGTTCTTAGTTTAGTTTTCAAATATATAGACTTCTAAAATAAATTATTTTTTGAAGTTGCAATATCTTTATAGTATAAAATACGGTAGGCATATCAGGTAGTTGTCTCAGTATTTCAGCATGTAGCCATTATAATATGTACAATATTTTACATATAACTCTTTACATAAATAAATTACCAGGTTGTTATATAGTTCTAATTTTAGTTTTTAAATATATAGACTCCTAAAATAATTTATTTGTTGAAGTTGCAATATCTTTATAGTATAAAACATGGTATAAGGGTATAAAATACGGTAGATATATTTCTTTTTTAAAAAGTAATTTAAAACTAGTTTGCGCAACACTGTTAAGCAATACTCGATAGCAATACTAGCATTTGAATTTATTAACAACTTTTAGTCAAACGGATGTATTCAAAATTGAACGGTTGCGAGAGGCCATGAAAGCGGAAAACATTAATGTTGAGAAATATGTCGCAGATATGATGTCAACGCAAATAACGACGCAGGTAACCTCATAAATGGCAGAGGTGTCATCACAAATGTTGGCGCCTGTATATTTTCACAGAGCAGAAAGAGCAGTATGTACAGATATCGTAAGTAACGTCGTAAATAGCAGAGGTGTCCTCACAGATTTCGAAGGAGCGGAATAAATAAAACTGTAGTGGAAGAGTTGAAAGATCGTCTTCGCAAGCTACATTTAAATCAGCCAATTATATTAACAGCCGCTGCCGAGGTAGAACCTCCATTCTGCGATGGCACAGTTCCGTTCTATATTTTTAAGTTACAATAAAAAAGACGGCAGCTGCAAATAATTAGAACGTTGAAGATTAAGTAGCTGCATTGATCGTTGAAATTAAAGCTGCAAATAATTAGAACGTTGAAGGTTAAGTAGCTGCATTGATCGTTGAAATTAAAGCATCGCGGAAATATTACAAACCATAACAAACTGCGAATCGAGTAATTATGAATAGTTGATGGGTGCATTGGGAAGGCGGTATGGTAGTGAGTGCAGGAAGCAGATGTTCCAAATCGAATAGGAACATCGTCGCCAGGAAGCCAATGAGTATCTGCAGGAGTTTTCTACAGTGATTGAGCGGTTAGCTAACTTAGCTTATGCGCATAAATCGGTGGAGTTTACCGAGGATACGAAAATCGGATCTTCGTTAATTATGCTGTGTTAGCATGTCCAATATTGACGTTTGCGGAAACCATTTCGTATGCTCTGACACAGGAAACTACATCTCTGCTTAGCAATCAATAGAAGAAATAGAAGAACACACTTGGGTAAACCAATTACTTGAAAAAATTGAGTATATGCAGAAAGCGCTGGAAATATAGCGCGTAAGAAGAATGATGGTGCCGTTAAATACTTCAACTGCGGAAAAAGTGGCTATATTGCACGCAATTGTAACCAATCTAATAATTCAGTTGGACGTAAACGCAAAGCTGAGGAAGTTCAAGCAATTGTCAAATCCAACCAATCCTTAAACAAAAGCGAGCCAGCCGAAAAGAGCACGGGCTGGCTCCCGCAAGCAAATGCCCTGCAATCTGCATTCCACAAATGAGCAGGTAACGTTACCGTTAATGGATGTGTAGACGGCAAAATGCGCATACTGACTGTTAATCCGATCACATTCCATTATTCGATCTGGTCTTGTTAATAAAGAAATGAGACCATAAGTTTGAGTAAAGTTGCGTAAAGCTTCTGGAGAAAGTATCCAAGTTCTCGGAAAAGTAAAGTTCGAGATCGCAATTGGAAAGGCTTGAAAAGGCCTTGTTGCTTAATTTTATAGTGGCAGATGTCGTCGACGAAGTCATAATTAGAGTAGACTTTCTAGCGAATCAAGGAATTAAAATTGACGTGGAGAACAAGATTATGACCTATTCAAATATGGAAGTGCCACTTATGTTCGGTTACGGTAATAAGTACAACATAAGACTAGTGATAGCAACAGAGAGCCAGCAGATAGCACCGAAATCTGGGGCAGATTGTTGAGGCCACAAAAAAATCTACATCAAACTTAGTTATAGACAAAACCCGTGCTATGAAAGGACCAGGCAAACGTCTTCCAGTATGAGTACTTAGTGAGTTCAAGTCACCAATCAAACTTTTCAGAGGAGCTATATTATACTAATACTAAAGACGATTTTAAACAAGAACCAAAGTTATGAAAAAGTTTACTTACACAGGTGATGATAAGCCAGACCAAACGGGAAATGAGCGAAGCGCTGTATTCGAACCATCAGCGAGTCCATGGAGTTCACCTGTAGCACTTATGAAGAAGATAGATGGGAACATGAGGTTTTGTGTGAACTATAGAAGGTTGAATGATGTAAGGAAGAAAGACAGTTATCCACTACCTAGAATCGATGACACTCTGGACTCGTTATCAGGCACAAAATGGTTCTCAACACTTGATTTAAATAGATGGTCTATGACAACTTACCGTAAATGTTCTTTGGATTATGTGACGCTCCTTCTATCTTTGAGAGACTTATGGACCAGGTATTAAAAGGATTACACTGGAAGTCCTGTTTGGTATACCTCGACGATATCATCGTGTGGGGTAAATGTTTCGATGAGGCCTTGGAAAAGGTTTTTCAACAGATAGATAGCGCTAAAGCTGAGCCCAAAGAAGTGTTCCCTTTTCAAAAAGGAAGTAAGTTACTTAGGACACAACATGACAACAGAGGGCATTTGCACAGCTAATGAAAAAATAGTGTCAGTAAAAGACTTTTGCAAATATTACGGAGTTTCTTTGGACTATGTACTTATCGACGATTCACTCCAAATTTTGCCAGCGTAGCTAGTAGCCTCCACGAGCTAACGAAAAAGAACAGAGTCTTTGAGTGAAATCAAGAACAGGAAGTAGATTTTCAATTGCTGAAGAATGGATTAAGTACTGTCCCAATGTTAGCCTACCCCGTCCCAGGATCAGCATTTCTTTATAATACGGCTGCTAGTGGGTTTGCAGGAAAAATGTGGGCAAGTATCAAAAAGATTGGGACCTGTACATGAAACAACGGAACAGACTTCAACAAGCGTAATTTTTGGCAATAATTTTCGGTTACCGATTGATTTGAAGTTTGGAATTAACGCCAACGGAGGAAGGAATGCTAAGAAAGTCAAAAAATACGACAAGGCAATGAACTCTGAGGGTTTTATTGAAATCGATTGGGTATTGTTATATAACTCACAACGAAAGTGTCGGGGTACTCGACGTTGAGTTTGCCGGTGTGCCAAATAAAATAAAATGTTAATTAAAATTCAACAAAATTTAACTTTAATTAATTTGAGTATATATGGTATAAATATTATAGACAATTTGTGTGGGTTAATTGTACAATATTTATGTGTGGGTTTGTTAAGGGTTATATGTATAATTCAATTTATGTGTTATTTGTAAGTTAAACTTAAAAAATATAAATTAACTATAAACTTAATTGTAACCTGATGTGGGTTGATAATCCCGCGTAGATTTTGGTGGTGCTGCTGTTGTTGTTGTTGTGCTGCTGGGACGACCTTTTTTTCGCGCCTTTTTATGTCCGTGGTAGTGGTCGACTCTCTTAAAGATTTCGCCACCTTCTTGTATATCACGATTGTAGGGTCGGGTCGGTAATTCCTGCGTCATAAGACAGTTGACTTCGACATGCCAGTCGGGATCAGTTAGCAACCCTATGACGATTTTACATATACGGTGAGAGTCGAGGTATGTTTTCGGTAACCTCAATCTCTGAAATAGCTCAGAGGCGTTGACGCAGTACTTATACTTAATTACTGCGTCAAACTTTTCGTAAATGTTAATTTTTGTAAATTTTGAACATGTCACCAATCGGTGATCCTTTTTACACAATCCACAGGCGACGTGTTTATATGTGCGTTTTGATGAATGGGTGATAGTTCGTCGGGCCGTGCGGTGGGTACTTCCTCTTTCTTCTCGAATGGGGGAGAGGGTCGCTTTAAAGCGATGTAAGCGTCTAGCCAGGGTCCCATTGTCGGAGAGTGGGGTGATGCTTCGGGTGACGCTGAGTGATCGTACGCTGCAGGCTGGGCTGCTCTGTCGGCTGCAGATTGATTTGATGCTATTTTGAGGAGCCATGTCACTATAAAGAAATGAGATTAGTTATTTGGTAAGGTGACTATTTTGGTTATTGGGCGGGTAATTGTTCCTTGAAAAGTACGTATGTCAACTACTCTGATCTTATTGTCTGCACCGAGATAGGTTTTTTCGATGCGACCAAGTTTCCATTCGTTTGGGGGTAGAGTTTGTTGGCGTATAACTACCATATCATTGACCTCTATATTGCGTTGAGGGTATTTCCACTTATACCGTTTGTGGAGTTCTTTTAGATATTCTTCTTTCCATCGTTTGCAGAAGTGTTGATGGGGTATCTTTAACTTTTGCGATCTATGTGCGATGCTTAGCTGTGTAGTTTCTAAGTTGGGTTCTGATGGGGTTAATAAAGGGGTACCTATTAAGAAATGGCCTGGAGTTAAAGGTTCTATATTCCTGGGGTCTTCACTTAGTGGGCTTAAAGGTCGAGAATTCAAGCAGCTTTCGATTCGGGTTAGAAGGGTAGATAATTCTTCGAAAGTGAATTTTTGGATTTGGGACACCTTTTTTAAGTGGCTCTTTAAACTTTTCACTCCTGTTTCCCAGAGCCCACCCAAGTGTGGAGCTCCAGGAGGATTAAAGTGCCAGTTGATGTTTTGGTGTGCTTCACTTGTTGTTACTTGTGTTTTTAGTGATTTTATAAATTCTCGCCGATCTTTGAGTTTAGACGCTCCCACGAAATTAGTACCATTGTCCGAATAGAGATCGGCTGGACATCCGCGCCTGGAAAAGAATCGTGCGAATGCGGCCATGAATTCTTGGGTGGTGAGATCGCTTGCTGCCTCTAGGTGTATTGCTTTGGTTGCAAAACAAACAAATACGCATACATAACTTTTTGTGATTAAGCACGCTCTGCCGGTGTAATTTTTTATGTCAAAGGGTGGTACGTTCCAGTGTTGTATCCATTGATTTTCGGGTAATTGACCAATGTTTCGGGTCGAGTTTTAGCCATTGGGGTCCGTGCCACCAGAGGTCATTATTAACCATTTCCAGAGTTGTGCATCCGCGACTACCCAGATCTGCCGGATTGTCCTGGCTTTCGATGTGACGCCAATTTTCTGCAATTGTGGCAACTCGATGGGATACAAAGGTTGTCCATGAGCATGGGGGTTTGCTTAGCCAAGAAAGGACAATTGTAGAATCCGTCCAAAGGTGAGTGCGGTACTAAGTAATGTTTAATTGGGGTAGGGTTGCATCAACTAGATTCGCCAGAAGAACTGCTCCGCAAAGTTCTAGCCTTGATAAAGATATACTTTTTATAGGGGACACACGAGTCGTGGATATCAAAAGAGTTGTCCAGGTGTTTGTTTTTTTTGAAACACTGATGTATACTTGTATAGGTTTGCTGCGCAAGCTTTTTCTGGTGCGTCAGAAAATCCGTGGAAATTGATGATCGCGGATGTCGAAAAATGGGTCCACCGAGGAATTTCAATCAGATTTAGTTTTTCGTAATCCTTTATGAAGGTTTTCTAGCGATGGAGAGTTAAGGGTCTTAAACTTTCATCCCAATCGGATTTATCGAGCCATATTTGTTGCATTATTATATTGGCTGTGACTACAACGGGACTGAGCCAACCAGCTGGGTCGAACAATTTTGCTATAATCGATAATACTTCTCGTTTAGTAAACGATGTCTTATCGTGAATAGGGTTGATGAGAAAAAAGAATGCATCTTTTTTTGCATTCCATCTGATCCCCAGTGC